TGGTGGGGAAGAGAGAGGAGAGTGAGGCGGCACTGGAGCGTGCTTGGTGCCAGGGGAGATGGCCGGAGCCGGCCGGAATCGACCGGTGAAGATGAAGGCAAAAAGGGGATCGGAGCTTCGATCGAGCAAGAGAGAGAGAGAGAGAGAGAGGTGGATGTAGCCGGTGACCTGTGTGGCTCCTCTCCTCTCCACCATTCAAAAGAAGCGCGGATGGGAGCCACGTCATCAACCGGTGGGAGGGTTGTTTCTACCAATCAGAAGGAAGCATTTTGTCCACACCAGATCGCGAAAGTACTTGTGTACCCGCCACTTGTAACTATATTAGCAATGGCCGGCAAGCCAGTGCACCCGCCACTGCTATCTTTTTGCCTGTTTTTCTACTCTATGGCTTTTCCACGGTTACCACATTTTCGCTATTGCCATTTATTGGGTAAGGCACCACGTGGCAATCGTGGGAAAGTTGCAGAGTGAGTAATTTGGCATTTGGGCGTGAAATATTTTCCACAATCAACACACATCATTACATGTATCATTTCCAAATTTGGTAATTTTTGGGGTCCGTTTGCTATCTTTAAACCATTAAATGCATCTCTAGGCATTTAATGGATATAATCCAAATTTGAACTGCATGTACACTAAATAATAGCAAGGCACGAGCTGAAAAATCTTATTGGTGGTCTTTAGTATATATTTAGTCCTTGTGTAAGAAAAAAATAAGAAGTCTCATACACCATGTGACCGAGATGGTGTATATGTTTAGTATATGTCATACAACATGGTGGTTATTGGCATTTTATTTCGGAAAAATTCAAATGATGCCAGCAAATCATAAAACTTGGCATGGTATCATGATATGACCTATAGAGGCTGTGGTAAAAAATTGAGAATATTTCGTAAAAGTAGTCATGTAGACTACTTACAAACCGGACCATCTCTGAAGAAGAAATTAGGTTTCAAGAGGGAACGAGTCAGGTGCATGTAAATTGAGTGTTGCTTTGTCAGCTGACCTAAAAATTATTTCCGCACTCAATACACGCCATTACATATATCATGTTAAAATTGGGCATTTTCCAGCATCAGTTTGCTATATTTAAGCAACTAAATGCATTTCTAGAAATTTTAAATAGACTGGTTTGCATGCGAACTGATAGCTCCTTTCTCAGTTAGTGTTCAAGCTTTTTCCACACTCAACATACACCATCACATGTGATATGCCAAAATTTAACATTGTTTTCAAGTCTTATCTGCAATATTTAAGCCTTGAAGTGCATGTACCTTCATTAAATACATTAAAAAAAATCTATGTAATGTCCTAAAAATAGCGGATAAACACTCGAAAGGGCCAAACTTTTACATGAAACTGTAAATGATGTACCTTTAATGTAGAATTTTTTTTCGGCCCTTAAGACTAAACCTAAAACACTAAAACCCTTCCATTATAAAAAATGGTAGAAAAAATACCAGTTTCCGGCACAAAAAAAACTCCCGCCACTGGTAGAAAAAAGTTGCAGTGGCGGGCATAAAACTGTGCCTGTCACTGCTACTTGAGTTACTAGTAGCGAGCACGTACTACTGCCTGCAATTGGTATTTTCTGAAAGATTTGCCTCGGGATAGAAAACACCAGTGGCAGACACGTATTGCTGCCCACCACTGGTAACATTTGTCCCAACTCAAATCTGGACACCTGCTACCAGTGTTAGGTGCAATTTGTCGTCCGCCACTAATAATTTTTCAGATTACCAGCGGCAGGCGCTATACTATGCCCGCAACTAATGTAAGTTCACCTATAAGCGAAATTGCATAGGAGCACCTACGGGCTCAACCCCCTGATATCCCACCATTGAATATGCATTGGGATTCACACCACTATATGTATTCATCATTTTTGTTGCATGTATGTTCTGAATTAGAGATGTATAACACTCTATTCTCTACATGCACTGGCCTACTCTACAACACGCTCCTGCTCTAGCCGCCAACATCCAACAACTAAAACTACATTTACTCAAGCAATGGTCACATCATCAGTTAATGCCTTTTCCATTGATTCCATCTATCCCCTTTCATCTTTCTTCAACTCTTTCGTCTCAAAGTTAAAAGCCATTTCACGAAATCAAACATTTCTACGGACAGGGGCACAAGTGAGTCCTTTGGTTTGAACTCCAAGAACAGATTCCAAGTCAAAGTTATCAAAATCCACTTTCTGGCCATTCCTTTGTATGAGTTTCTCTAAACCTTGGTACTTTTGAATATATTTTTTCCGATACTGCCAAGCTACTTAGGGTTATTCATACTTGGAGATTAAACCGAGTTTCAACAGTTCAAAACCACCATTACATTTGTTCCGGAACTGCCGACCTCAAATTCCACTTTGTCCAACCTTCTGTTGGTACTTCTGAGCATACATTTTCAGTGGCACTTCAGAGCTATCTCGAATCAGGATATAAGTTTGGTACATCCGCTTCTTTTCGTCCGGAACTTCTAAGCTACGACTTAGCTCTATTCTGCAGATTTTTTCAGTCTAACAGTTGCTCTGTTTTATGTGGTACTAACAAGAATTTGGTTTTACCGATACTTCTGAGTTGTTCTATCCTCACAAAAAAAATGTGCTACCTTTTTTTGTTTGGAACCATCGCTCATTCTCCCATTGGTACTTTTTGGGTTTCTGAACACTGTAGTGGCCATTCAATTTTTTTTTGAATTGTTCGATAGTTTCGCTAGTTTACTACTGGTGTTTTCGGGCCTTATTTACTTCTTCAATATCAAATTTTGAACTCTATATATATTCTCTTCCATACCCCTTTGCGGCTGAAATCACCACTCACCACCTCCATCTCACTCACAACATTCATCATTGTGAGCCATCACCCACATCCCATTCCACACAGTTCAATCCATCTACCACATAGAGAAAGAGAGATCCAAGGTTCATATGTTAATCGATTTATTTTGTTTGTTCGCTTTAGTGGGTGTTATGAAACCCTGGCTAACTTAACTATTACTCCCTCTGTTCTAAATTACTTGTCTTAGATTTATTCAGATACGGGCATATCTAGCTTAGATGGAGGTAATATTATTCCTTTTTGCCTAACCTCGGCTAAGCAACAGATGATAATAAGCAACATATGGAACAAATACATATGTGTCCATCAAAGTCGATTTGAGCCAGGTTTAACACGTCTGACCACTAAGCTACCAATTTAACATAAAGAAACTGATTCTGACAGCAACACTCGGTGAATAATTAATAAAATGGTTGCATGCATCGTTCAGATGCAGAGGCCGGGGTCATCCTCTTAAAAAACCCTGTGCAATTGGATTCAACAAACACTTGAACTAAGCAATAAAAAAATAGATGATAAATAGCCTCTTGTTCAGAGCAACAAATAAATAGCCTCTTGTTCAGAGCAACAAATAAATAAATCATCATATATTGTCTGACGAATGTTGATATTACGAGAAGTCATCATTAAGAACACATGAATTCCAGCTGAAACGGCAATCATCCATAAATCAGTGAACAAGAGGCCGGGGTCATCCTCTTAAAAAACCCTGTGCAATTGGATTCAACAAACACTTGAACTAAGCAATAAAAAAATAGATGATAAATAGCCTCTTGTTCAGAGCAACAAATAAATAGCCTCTTGTTCAGAGCAACAAATAAATAAATCATCATATATTGTCTGACGAATGTTGATATTACGAGAAGTCATCATTAAGAACACATGAATTCCAGCTGAAACGGCAATCATCCATAAATCAGTGAACAAGAGGGCGGTAACTTGTTTTTGCTTCTGTTCAAGACGCTGCGTGCTGAGTTACTGAGTAGAGCCGAGAGAGTAGTGGGTTGTGTGTACTTGCTCAAGGCATGTCAAACTTGTAAAGGAAGGAAAAATAGAGGCAAAAATTGCAATTGGCCCATGCAGGTCTCGAACCTGCGACCTTCGCGTTATTAGCACGACGCTCTAACCAGCTGAGCTAATAGGCCAGTTGACGACAAAAAATTCCAATTGGCCTACTTATATCATGTATTTAAGGACATGTAGCGAAACCCAGAATCTTTAGATGCCTTGCCTACTATAAACAAGATTTCAAAATACTGGGATTTTATAAGAGCTGCCTTTAGATGGTGCATAGGAGGAAAAAAAAAGAGGTGTGGGCTCATGTTTGATATTCCTATAGAATGAGAAGTAATAGGAACATCTGAATCTGAATGGTCCAAAAGGCTTAGAAATTCCTACAGTCCAAAGAGGCGCTTAGTAAATCCAGGACTCCCAACGCAGACATGGTTGAGTCGATTTGTAGAATTCGGACAAATCAGGGTCCACTTAAATTTTGACCTTTTTAGAAAATAGAGATCATGCGCATAGATATTGATTAAAAACTTGCACAGGTTTTCACAAAATAAAATACTTCCTTCGTCTCATTATCATATTAATTGACGCTGAAATGGAACGGAGGGAGTATAAACTTTGTGACCTCGGCCAAGAGTGCTACAAAAGTTTTGAAGCTATAACTTTGTGACCTTACCTTTCCCGTCATTTTCATGCGATTCACAAATGGTACTATTGTTTTATGATTTTTTTTTTTGCTAACTTATATAAAAAGTATGCCCCAGAATCAGGATCTTTCTTAGTATTTTGCTGATGCCTAAGTTCACACTACAGCCAATTCGGAACCAACAATAGAGCAGTAACATGACCAGAGAGGAGACAAAAGCACCCAAAGTGGGCACATAACAAACATTTCCAGCCACGGGCACCATTTAGCGAATGGGAGAACCAACACTAGCATAGTTATCACGAGAAGCATATGTCAATTTCATTATGGACTTTGGCAATGATACGTTGATGTTTTGACTACGACGCGATCCTACATGGATCAGGGAGACACACGCGACCAACAAGTAATCAAAGAAAATAATGGCCCAGAGATAGTTTCTCGGGACAGCAACACAATCTTCTGCATGCAAGCAGTGGATACGAGCATGGGCTTCGGATCATCCCATGGCATACTTCTGCGTCCAGCTGCGGGCTGTCGTCTCGTACTTGGACCGATCCGTCTTGTACATGTGGGCAATCTCAGGGACGAGAGGGTCGTCCGGGTTAGGGTCGGTAAGCAGTGAGCAGATTGAAAGCAGAACCTGGTGAAAATAACATTACTGGGAGTTAGTAGTGCAGCTACATTCTGCATATGCAATGCACCAAATGGTAACTGTATTCTGTTCAAAAAATAAATAAATGGTAACTGTAGATTACTAGACCTCAAGGAGAGGGCTGTCAGATGTTTTTATCCCAACTGTACAGTTTTTATTAGGATGGTTTGCAATGTTTTGAGCCCCAAAAAAGTAACTGAGCTTAATATCTGCTAACAATATGATAGCATCAACATGAGGCAACACCAAATGACTGCATTTGGACAAACAATTAAGACTCCGGCCAAAAGGTCATGACAAGGCACGCAGCAACGTTCTAGAACCAGATGGCAAAACATTTAAAACTTTTTGTAGCGTCCATCAAATCACATCAAACATTTACTCCCTCCGTAAAGAAATATAAGAGCGTTTAGATCACTATAGTTGAGATTATAAATGGTGTAATGAAGCAATGCAGAGAACTGTAGCTCATCAAGAGTGCTAGACTGCTAGGGCATGTAAATAATTCGTTTACTATGTATATACAGCATATCAGCAAAAGGTGTAAAGGACTGAATTGTTGTGAGAGCACCTTAGAGATTGTCAAAGCAGGACTCCATTGCTCCTTCAGAATGTCGAGGCATATGCTTCCATTGCTATTGATGTTCGGATGGAAGACCTTTGTCTTGAACGATACCTGAAAGAAGAGATACTTGAGAACACAAAGGACGAAAAGGGAAGATTAAAAACAACAACAGGTAGACCCACAAAGTTGAACCTATCATAGAATGTGGTGTTAAAAAAAGATAAGATTCAGCAACAGAATTTTTCTTTTAAAATTAAGAGGTGATATAATAACGATTTCTGCAAACAAATGAGGCATAACAAGATACAGTTGATCCTTAATATCAAAATGCAGGGATGAACATAAATCACAGGATCGAACACTGAAACATCAATGGAACATGAAGAGAGGAGACATACTGACAGTTTGACAAGATCCATCTTTCAATAAAGATGACAAAGATGCAAGGAAATTTGTTTGGCTCAATATTGTTCAGCACTAACCTTCGGAGGCTTGAAGGGGTAGTCCGGGGGGAAATGGATATTCACTAAGAAAACACCTCCAGCATAGGGACTATCAGGAGGACCCATAATGGTTGCCTGCCAATGGAACATATCCTCGCCAGAAGGACCTAAATAAATAGAAACCTATAATAAATTAACACAATCATTTGTGCAAGCAAGGGAATAGTAAGCACTAAGCAGCAGCACGACATAATCCTGATTATAGAAGAACTGATGGTCAATTGTAGTGGTTGTTGATGGCTGCTCATCACTTACTAAGTTGAAATATACTTTAAAGCACAGGAAGACTATATGCTACTAGATACCTTAAATAAAAAAATCAATTTAGCTAGTCAACCGCAAAAAGGACACTGACAAGACAGAAGCTGATATATTGATACATTCTCTTTGGGCAAGAACAGCGAATGAAACTGTGTATTATAATCCAATTTCCTGGATAAGTGACTCAGCAAAATGAAATCCATTCAATGAAATAATACATTTTATCAATGGGTCGATGCCATAAATAGTTCCAGTGAAGTTATGGTCACGCTCAGAAATAATTGACAGCAAGGATATTTGTAGACATTGTGCATAATAAATAGCCTGCTAAAGGCTAACCTTGATGGACATAGCCCTGTAATTTCACCAGAGATGGAAGGTGAATTACTGGTGAATTACGATACACAAAGTTGAAAGCTCACATGACCACAGCACATATCAGTGCTAAGATGCAGACAACGTGGCTAACAGTCATAACTGAATCATAGATCTGGCTCGTACCTGCACTGCATGATGTCGGAGGATCTTTCTGCAAGTCCTTGAGTTCCTTCAGGATACGTTTTGAAGCCATGATAAGCTCCTGCTTTGAATTTTATTTACATGTTTATTAGACTGAAGAATAAGTCATTAACTCTAGAGTTTAAACATGTTTTTGTTCACCACATACTGCAATAAGTTGGCAGCATAAAAATAAACAAAAGGTAAAACAATACAGGTTTATTGCCTCGAAGTATTTAGCCTGACACTGAAGTAACTTCACTACTGACACGTATATATTGCTCCAAAGTAACCTAGAACATAAAGCTTCGATCAAGTAATGATTGGGTGGTAACCTTAACATATTCGTTCAATTACACCAACACAACAAGTTATTTCAAAGCTGGCAAAATTAAACAAACTAGCATAAAACTCATCCTGGGACAAATAATTAAAAAAATAATGTGGTTGTCAAATTAGCATTAACAGATAACGACCTTTAGACAACAGGCTGCCAAACTACATTAACAGGCAAGGCATATCCCACCAGATGAATCCCACAGGTTCACAAATCCATCTGGACATACAACAGATCACTGGCTACGCTAGACACGACGCTCTCCACGCACAGGAAAAAAAGTTGTGACGAGTTGCACTTTTCTGAATCGATGGAGCCTTGAGAAAATCTCAGTCGATTGAGACCTAGCAAGACCGTTTAGCCTGCATCACTGCACACACGATAAAAGGGACAACAAAAATACCTCGCCTCGACAGCCCGCAACTAGACGATCCTAACGAATCACATCATGCAACAGATCGAGCCTGACGATCCAACGGATTGAGCAGGCACACATCCAATCGACAGGCCGATGGACGAATCGCCACCGGCGCACAACAAATCTACGCGCATCACAGGCCATACTACAAGAGAGGCCCCGCCAGGCACCAGGCCACGGATCTACCAAAACAAAATATCAATCCAGTCACGGCCAACGGAATTGGGGGAAAATTACGCGAAGGCCGGGACGGAGACAGATCGGGGTCGGACCCCGGGCTTACCGGCGCCGATCTGCCGGAATCGAGGGAGGGGCGGCGAGGGGGAAAGGCGGGAGGGGATCGGGGGCGGAGGTGCTACCTTTTCTTCGCGGCGGCCACGAGAGGTCGGGATGGAGAGAGAGGCCCTCGCTCCTTTTCCGCTCGGGGTCTTTGCTCCCTCTGTTTTTGTTGGGTGCGCGCACCCGATGCACGGCGTTATATTTTCCTTTCCTGAAATAATTACGGGAAGGAAATCTAGCAGGGGACGAGGCGTTCGGAATACGGTTCTCCTGTGTGAAGGCGATGTCGACACAGTGAGGGCAGAACGGGGAATTTCGGTGGTCCAAGTTACGAACGGGTCAAATTATTCAACTGTATGGAACCTTACCGGTGCATCACATAAATATAGTTAGATTCTTCCGCCTCTTTCTTTTTTTCTCCAGTGGTATCACAATTTATGTACTACCACTTCCGTCTCGAATTATTTGTCTGACATTTGTCTAGATACAAATCTATCTGATAATAAAACGTGTTTAGACACATCCACCGATGTATCTAGACAAAACTAAAACAAATTATTTGGGATGGGGCGAATACACTGTGCTACTTACTTTCTTCGTCAGAACTGACTTGTCGCTGAAATTCCATGTTCTGCGACAAGTAATTCCGAACGGAGAAGTACTTACAAAAGTTTTTGTCGCGCAAGAGGCTTCGTCCAAATTTACGCACGTTCTTTTTCCTCTATTCATTATGATTTTCTTCCTCATGATTTATATTTTGTGGGTAATATTATCCGTCCATCGGATGAAAAAACGCGGATCTGGAAGCATTGAAAACTGCCACGTCAAGCGTGCGCACCTGCCGTTGGGAGCGAGCCTCGCACAAACGATTCCATCTCATAGAAGCTTATCCATCCATCTTCCTCGCCACTCCACAGCCCCCCACTACTTTCACGCCCTTCCCATCTCCATCCAACCCAACCATGAACGGCGCACGCGGGATCGTGCAGCTACCGACGACGAGACCAGGATGTCGTGGTTCCGGGAACAGGGCGGCGCACCCTGCAGCCACCAGTTCGTGTCGCACGGCGTGTGGGGAAGCACTATCGGGCCGCGTCAGCCACGCGACCAGGAACACTAGGGGCCACGACGACCGTGCATGAAGGGGAATCTCGTCGTTGTGGACGTTCTGATACGGGACGTCTCGGGAACGATCTTTCACGGTGCCAAAGAACTCACAAGGAGCAGCAACTATCTCTCTCAAATGGCAAGGAGCAAAAGGAAAACTCTCAAATATATTACAACGGATAACTAGCTTGGTTTACAAGGATGCAATTCAAACCATGAAACTTGTGAACCTATGAAGAATCACAAGAGAGAACCACAAGGATCCTATATGAATTGAGGACAGGCCCTCCAATCCACACACACGAGATAACACTCAACGATACTAGTGCTCACAGCACAAACACAACCTCACCGGCTGTCTACGAACATAATCTCAGAAATCTCATCCCCCTTCACATGGAACAACTGGGGAGTACTTATACTAGAAGCACCTACTAGTTAGGCGTGAAAACAACTCAAAATGAAAGGTAAATTCATGAGCCCCAAGCTGTAGCAGGAGCAAACTTGTTGAGCCTCTCGCTGTAATTAATTCCTGGACAACTTGCATGGAAACTTGCACAACTTTTAACTCAAGACCTCAAATGATGCACCATTTTTTTGAATGAAAGCTGACTTAAAAGACCATCTTTTCCAGCCTCTAAAACGTGCTAGACCCTTCTAGAATTAATTAGGTTTAGATGGGAAGTTGCAGCTGGAAATCTTATGTGTCATTTCTCCCAAAATAGGCACTGAAAACTTCCCCACTAAGATAATGGTTTTGCCCATGTTCTTCTTTGGCTGCTCTAATGGTTTAACATTTGTGTTAGCATGAACCTCAAACTTTGATGACATGTTCATGATCTGGTCCACATCACGTCTGTTGTGTCGACGCGCGTGGACGAGCACCGATGCCATGTCGGCCACGCGAGTAGGAACACCAGGGGCCGTAGTGTCTACACATGGAGAGGCACCTCCCTATCGCAGCCACCCGGTTGGTCGACACACGTGGACGAGCCCCTGGTGTTGTTGCTCGTGTTGCCAATGAGCCCAAAATAAAAAAATGAGAGAAAAGAGAGAAGAGGCAATGCTACTATCCTTTTTTCAGACTTGTGCTTCAAAGTAGCACCAAGATCTTCATGATAGAGAGTTTCCTATTTTGTCACTTATACTGGTGAAAATTTTTTATTATAAAACTTGGCTTGTATATTCCAATGATGGGCTTCCTCAAATTTCCCTAGGTCTTCGTGAGCAAGCAAGTTGGATGCACACCCACTATTTTTCTTTTGAGCTTTCATACACTTATAGCTCTAGTGCATCCGTTGCATGGCAATTCATACTCACTCACACTAATATCTATTGATGGGCATCTCCATAGCCAGTTGATACGCCTAGTTGATGTGAGACCATCTTCTTATTTTTATCTTCTCCACAACCACCATATTCTATTCCCCCTATAGTGATATATCCATGTCAGACGCTCATATATTGCGTGAAAGTTGAAAAGGTTTGAGAACATCAAAAGTATGAAACAATTGCTTGGCTTGTCATCAGGGTTGTGCATGATTTAATACTTTGTGTGATGAAGATGGAGCATAGCCAGACTATATGATTTTCTAGGGATAACTTTCTTTGGCCATGTTATTTTGAGAAGACATGATTGCTTTGTTAGTATGCTTGAAATATTATTGTTTTTATGTCAATGTTAAACTTTTGTTTTCAATCTTATGGATCTGAATATTCATGCCACAATAAAGAAAAATTACATGGATAAATATGTTTGGTAGCATTCAACATCAAAAATTCTATAGGTAAATACGTCTCCAACGTATCTATAATTTCTGATTGTTTCATACTATTATATTATCTGTTTTGGATGTTTTATATGCATTAATATGCTATTTATATTATTTTGGGACTAACCTATTAACCTAGAGCCTAGTGCCAGTTTCTGTTTCTTCCTTGTTTTTGAGTTTTACAGAAAAGGAATATCAAACGGAGTCCAAACGGAATAAAACTTTTGCGATGATTTTTCTTGGACTAGAAGACACCTACGAGACTTGGAGAGGAGGTCAGAAGACCTACGAGGAGACGGCAAGCCGTAGGGGTGCGCCCCAGGGGGGCACCCCCTGGCTTGTGGTCCCCCTGGAGGCCCTCTAACCCTAATCTTCAGACTATAAATTCAGAAATATTCCCAAACCACCAGAGGCATCCACGAAAAAACTTTTCCATCTCCGCAAGCCTCTGTTCTTGTGAGATCCCATCTTGGGGCCTTTTCCGGCGATCTGCCGGATGGGGATTCGATCACGGAGGGCATCTACATCAACCCTATTGCCCCTCCGATGATGCATGGGTAGTTTACCTCAGACCTATGGGTCCATATCTAGTAGCTAGCTGGCTTCTTCTCTCTCTTTGACCTTCAATACAAAGTTCTCCTTGATGTTCTTGGAGATCTATCTGATGACCATACAGGAGTTACAGAATGAACAGAGACTAGTTAAGGGCGAGGTGACGATGTGTGTTGGAAGTGATTCTAAGGTTGATAAGATCACCATAACACATTCCCTCTACCTTCGAGATTAGTGTTGGACCTAAATAAATGTTATTTGGTGTTTGCGTTGAGCATGAATAGGATTGGATCATATTTATTGCAATACGGTTATTCATCTAAGTCAGAGAATAATTGTTGTTCTGTTTACATGAATAAAACCTTCTATGGTCATACACCCAATATAAATGGTTTATTGAATCTTGATCGTAGTGATACACATATTCATAATATTGATGCCAAAAGATGCAAAGTTGATAATGATAGTGCAACATATTTGTGGCACTACCGTTTAGGTCATATTAGTATAAAGCACATGAAGAAACTCCATGCAGATGGCTTTTGGAATCACTTGAATATGGATCATTTGATACTTGCGAACCATGCCTCATGGGCAAGATGACTAAAACTCCATTCTTCAGAACAATGGAGCGAGCCAATGGCTTATTGGAAATAATACATACCGATGTATGCGATCCAATGAGTGTTGAGGCACGCGGCGGGTATTGTTATTTTCTGACATTCACAGATGATTTGAGCAGATATGGGTATATCTACTTGATGAAACACAAGTATGAAACATTTGAAAAGTTCAAAGAATTTTAGACTGAAGTGGAGAATCATCGTAACAAGAAAATAAAGTTTCTACGATCTGATCACGGAGGCGAATATTTGAGTTACGAGTTTGGACTTCATTTAAAACAATGTGGAATAGTTTCACAACTCACGCCACCTGGAATACCATAGCATAAAGGTGTGTCCGAATGTTGTAACCGTACTTTATTAGATATGGTGCGATCTATGATGTCTCTTACTGATTTACCACTATCGTTTTGGGGTTATGCATTAGAGACAGCTGCATTCACGTTAAATAGGGCACCATCTAAATCCGTTGAGACGACACTGTATGAACTATGGTTTGGCAAGAAACCTAAGCTGTCATTTCTTAAAGTCCGGGGTTGCGATGCTTATGTGAAAAAGCTTCAGCCTGATAAGCTCGAACCCAAATCGAGAAGTGCATTTTCATAGGATACCCAAAAGAAACTATTGGGTACACCTTCTATCACAGATCCTAAGGCAAGATATTTGTTGCTAAGAATGGATCCTTTCTAGAGAAGGAGTTTCCCTCGAAAGAAGTGAGTGGGAGGAAAGTAGAACTTGATGAGGTAATTGTACCTTCACTCGAATTGGAAAGTAGCTCATCACAGAAGACCGTTCCCATGATGCCTACACCAACTATAGAGGAAGCTAATGATAATGATCATGAAACTTCATATCAAATTACTACCGAACCTCGTAGGTCAACCAGAGCATGTTCCGCACCAAAGTGGTACGGTAATCCGGTTCTGGAAGTCATGTTACTAGACCATGACGAACCTATGAACTATGGGAAGCGATGATGAGCCCAGATTCCGCAAAATGGCTTGAGGCCATGAAATCTGAGATAGGATCCATGTATGAGAACAAAGTATGGAATTTGGTGGACCTGCCCGATGATCGGCAAACCATTGAGAATAAATGGATCTTCAAGAGGAAGACAGACACTGAGGGTAGTGTTACTGTCTACAAAGCTCGACTTGTCGCAAAAAGGTTTTCGACAAGTTCAAGGTGTTGACTACGATGAGATTTTCTCACTCGTAGCGATGCTTAAGTCGGCCCGAATCATGTTAGCAATTGCCACATTTTATGATTATGAAATTTGGCAAATGGGTGTCAAAACTGCATTCCTTGATGGATATCTTAAAGAAGAGCTTATCACACCCGATCATCACGTTGGCAAATGGATGTCAAAACTGCATTCCTTGATGAAATTTGGCAAATGGATGTTTAACCCGAGTATTCTGGTTGTGTAAAACTGGCTTGCACCCGCTGTATGTGAACGTAGAGCTTATCACACCAGATCATCACGTGGTGTCTCGGCAAGACGAACTGTAGCAACGGTGCATACTTAGGGAGAACACTTGTTTGAAATTTAGTGAGAGATCATCTCATAATGCTACGCCGCACTAAGCAAAATAAGATGCATAAAGGGTAAACCTCACATGCAATCAAATAAGTGATATGATATGGCCATCATCATCTTGTGCCTTTGATCTCCATCTCCAAAGCACCGTCATGATCACCATCATCACCGGCTTGACACCTTGATCTCCATCGCAGCATCGTTGTCATCTCGCCAACTATTGCTTTTACGACTATCGCTACCGCTTAGTGATAAAGTAAAGCAATTGCATGGCGATTGCATTTCATACAATAAAGCGACAACCATATGGCTCCTACCAGTTGCTGATAATAGTGCTACAAAACATGATCATCTCATACAACAATTTATATAATCACGTCTTGACCATATCACATCACAACATGGCCTGCAAAAACAAGTTAGACGTCCTCTACTTTGTTGTTGCAAGTTTTACGTGGCTGCTACGGGCTTAGCAAGAACCGTTCTTACCTATGCATCAAAAAACACAATGCGGTATAGTGATTGCTTTTTGATCTTCAGAAAGAACCCTGTTCATTGAATCCGATTCAACTAAAGCTGGAGAAACTGACACCCACTAGCCACCTGTGTGTGAAGCACGTCGGTAGAACCAGTCTCGCGTAAGCGTACGCGTAATGTCGGTCTGAGCCGCTTCATCCAACAGTACCGCTGAATCAAGAATCAACTAGTGACGGCAAGCAATATGTATATACCCACACCCACAACTCCTTTGTGTTCTACTCGTGCATATAACATCTACGCATAGACCTGGCTCGGATGCCACTGTTGGGGAACACAGTAATTTCAAAAAAAAATCTACGCACACGCAAGATCCATCTAGGTGATGCATAGTAACGAGAGGGGAAGAGTATGTCTATGTACCCTCGTAGACCGAAAGCAGAAGCATTATGACAACGCGGTTGATGTAGTCGTACATCTTCACGATCCGACCGATCTTAGTACCGAACGTACGGCACTTCGTGTTCAACACACGTTCAGCTCAATGACGTCCCTCGTACTCTTGATACAGTTGAGTACGAGGGAGAGTTTCGTCAGCACGACGGTGTGGGGACGGTGATGATGAAGTTATCGGCGCAGGGCTTCACCTAAGCACTACGATGATATGACCGAGGTGGGATATGGTGGAGGGGGGCACCATACACGGCTAAGACAACTGTCAACTTGTGTGTTCTAGGGTGCCCCCTTGCCCTCGTATATAAAGGAGCAAGGGGGACGCCGGTCGGCCCTATAGTGGCGCGCCCCAAGTAGGATTCCTACCAGGAATCCTATTCCTATTAGGTTTCCAACAAGGGAAGAGAGAGGGGAAGGAAGGAGAGGGCGAGAGGGAGAAGGAAAGGGGGGCGCCGCCCCCTTCCCTAGTCCAATTCG